ATCATTTTTAATTTCTTAATCGAAAACACCAACGAGGTTATTAATTTCTAGATCATTTTCGGATTAACCGCTTACTTTACCACAATAGCACCGAGCATGTCTCTCGGGTACTCAGCAGTTGCGCTTCCGGGGCTCACCGATCCTAAATCGATGTATTTTTTGGATAAAGATCAATCATCGTGGTTCGGTAAGTTTATTAATTAAATTAATTCAAATTTGTAATTTATAATTATTTATTTATTTTTTTTTTTAATTTAGTGAGTATTGCAACAATTTCAACGCCAATCGGTTGCTTCTTAAGTGGCCCAATTTCGGATAAATTTGGGAGAAAAGTTAGTTTATTAACGGTCAACGTCGTCACATTCATCGGATGGGTCATCATCACTTTAGCCCCGAATTTTCCAAACTCCTTTTATTCCGTGTTATTAATCGGCCGGGTAATCACCGGATTATCAACCGGATTAGCCAGCATGCCGGCGGCCGTTTATATGGCGGAAATATCATCCCCTAAATTAAGAGGGATGTTCACAACAGCCTCTGCAATCTTTTTTTCGTTAGGAATTTTGGTCGTTTATTTTTTAGGATTTCTAATGCCAGTAAGAAAGTAATTTAAAACAAATCAATCTTTATTATTGTTTACATTTTAGAGTAATTGGTCGAAAATATCGTTAATCACCTCGATTTTTCCCGTGATATCAATGACGATAACGACGTTTTTTCTACCGGAAAGTCCGCAATGGTTGATCGCGAAAAACATGGATCTCGAAGCCAAAAAGAATTTAACGAAAATCTTCGGGTTGGGCGAAACGACCGGATTAGTCCAGGATGAAATTCTTGCGTTAATCGGAAATCGAGATCAAAATCTCGCTCGAAATCCCAATAATAAAAAATCGTCGTTTTTACGTTCCGTTTTGAAAAAAATTCGTCACTTTCAAAAACCCGCTTGTTATAAACCGTTTGTAATCGTGTTATCGTATTTCTTTTTTTTGCAATTTTCGGGGACTTTTGTAATTATTTTTTACGCGATTGATATTGTTAAAGAGGCGGGTGTTATTTCGACGGATCCTTATTTAATTATCGTTTTAATCGCTTCGACTCGTTTAGCTGGGGCGATTTTGATAAGTTCGATAAGTAAGAAATTGGGGCATCGCCCCCCATCGATTATTTCCGGCGTTGGGATGACGCTTTGTATGATAACTTTGTTTATTTATTTATACTTGATTCATTTAGGCATCATTGGGGATGATTTAAAAACAAAATTGTCTTGGTTACCTATTTTTTTGTTGGTTTTTTACTTTTTTACAACAACTTTGGGGTTTTTAACGGTTCCTTTTGCGATGGCAGCCGAGGTTTTTCCCACAAAAATTCGCGGATTAGCGACTGGCTTAGTGACGTGTTTAGCGTATGGTTTTAATTTTATTATTTTAAAATCCTACCCCACTATGTTGAAGTCGATGGGAAATTATGGAGTCTTTTGCTTTTATGGTGTTATGAGCTTTATTGGAACGATTTTTATTATTACTTGTTTGCCAGAGACTAAAGGAAAGACTTTGAGTGAAATCGAAGAGTATTTTAGTGGGAGGAGAGGATCGAATCGTATCGATAAAAGTTAAAAATACTCACATTTTAATAAAATACTCGTTTTAAATTTGTATGTAGATAATTTATTTTTATAATTATATAAAATTAAATAATTTTTAGGGATTTTTTAACTTGAACATTAATTTAGATTTAAGGTTGGTCATCCTGCCCCAATCAGTCCGAATATGACAACAATAACTTCTCAAAAATTATCTTAACCTCACTTTCAAAATTAATAATAATAAAAAATTAATACTTGCAATATATCTTAATTACACGAAATTTATTAATCTTAACATATCAACCCATCGGAAAGAGAAATATTTTTAGTTACTTGAAATTGACATTTATTTTTTTTATTACCAACTGAAATATTGCAAAGTTGAGTTCGTCATTTTTAAACTCACTTTTAAAATTAATAATTTAGAAACTTAAAAAGATAATGTGGTTTAAAGTAAAGTTGAATTTGATTTGTTTATAATAATAAAATGCAAGTCAATCAATTAATAATTTAATTTTGCGATATAAACGAAGTCTACTTTATCGACTCCATTACGTTATCTACATTACCGACTCAAAAAGTGACATTTCACCTATTAATCTAAATCTGAGGTTATATTTTGTTGATAAAACCGCAATAACAATTAAAATAAGTGCTATATTACACTTATTTAATTAAAAGTGGGCGATTTCATACCAATTTTGAAGAAACCGGATTCAACAACGAAGGTAATTAATACAACATAACCTCAATTTATTAAAACGTATCGCAATAAAATTTGTTACTTTTCTTCACAAATATATCTTTGTAAGTTTTTATTTTAATTTATGTTTCAGCTTTTGAAGAATTTGCTGTGGTGTTAAAGCGTTATTTGGATGATTTAAATAATTCATAACGCTAGGATTTTAAATCGTTTAACTGGTGAGAGTGATTAAAACAATTATTAATCTCATTTTTACACAAAGAAATGTTTTTAAACAATTAACTAGTTGAATAAAGTTAAAATTGATTTGTTTATAAAAGAAGGGAGTGTATTTAAATAATTATATTTCGTGTTAATAATATTCGGTGAATTTTGAAGTTTATCTAATTTAAACTTTAAATTAGATAAACTTCATCACCATGTTTTTTAATTACACATTTCATTTTTGTTTCTGTAACTAATATTAGTAATACCTATAAAGAAGGGTTTTGTATTTACTGTTTTGATAATACCGATTACAGGAAACTGTAAAATATGTTGATAAAATAGAAATCTGTACAAATACTAATTTATATCAATAAAAAAAATTGTTGCAAAAAAAAACGATTTTTATTTCTTCAACCTAATAAACAATTAATTTTACATTTAAATTCACTCAAATTATTATTAATTAAAAAGTATTTTAATTTACTTCCTCGGTTTGATGTGTTCTTAATAGAAAAACCGAAAATTTCATTTTCCAATTACGATTTGTATCAAGATCGCATAATTTCTTACTCACGTTTACCTTCGTCAATGTCATTTAGAGGTCGTTCAAGGTGAACTCAAGGAGACATCCTCAAAATTTCATTTTGAATTTTACCTTCAATGTCATTTAGAGGTCATTCAAGGTGAACTCAAGGAGACA